AATTTATGGAACAAATGAGTAAAATAATTTTTTAAAAAAATCTTAAGAATGTTGAATAGAGTGATAATAGAGAAAAGTGGGATTAAAATTATTTTTTTTTGTCTTTTTATCCTCCAAATGTACCAATTTCAAATTTTGCCCATTATTTTTATGGTGAATATGCTTGTTTGATAAAATTAGGGTACTGAGTACCAAGATTATAATATTAAAGTACAAAATTCCAAAATTTCCTATTTTTGGAATGTAATCTACAAATTAGTCCGTAAAGTCATATCAATTATGAAATAAATATCCAAAATGTTGCAAAAAATGGAAATTTTTGTTGAGGAATTAACTAATTAATTATATGATGTAATTATTTATCCATTTAATTGGTAGGACCAATTAAATTAAGTTTATGGATTAATTAATCAATTAGTTCTATTAATTAATTGTGAGGCTCAAGGGTTGAGCTAATGGATGGAAGGGCTTCAGCTTATGGAAGCTTGTTGTTGTATGTCTCTAGAGTGGCTGAATCATAGAGGACCCCATAAGGGTCATTGTAATGACCTAAATTTTTTGTAATTATTAAGTTTAGGGACCAAAATGGGAAAATTGAAATTTAGTGGGGCCGAATTTAAAATTTCTTGGGGACCAGTTTGTGAGGAAACAAAGTTAAGGGATTAAATTGCAATTTTGCATAAATCTGACAGGAACAATGACCGGATGAGATTTCTCGCCATTTTTGGCCGTGTTGTGTAATAATTTCAGTAGACTTTCGCACCTTTGCATGTGTTTTTGAGAGACTGACCAAACCCCTCAATCTATTTCAGTTTTCGAGTGACTTGGTGAGGGAATTTCGAGTGTTTTGGGTCAACAGGTTTGCGGGAGACCAAGGGAGGAAATCAACGATTTGAGGCCTGTTTGAACCATTTTGCTCCGATTAAAGGTCTTCCTGAGGATCGCCAGGGTCGATTATGTGGCTTTGGGTTGTTAATCGATCAAGGTAAGCCATTTTTCTTGGGTTTTTCTTGGATTTTTGGCCAGCTTTGAGGTTGCAAGCAACCGGGTCTGAAACCCGAGTTGCCAGGTGAGAAAGATAGGACCTGGAAGGGTCTGAGTCCTGTATTGGCTAGGTTGGACCAGTTTGGGCCCGGCCCAGCCTGGTTAGGGGGTGGTGCGCAGGCCAGGGCCGTGGGCTGGCCCAGGCGGATTAGGTCTGAGACCAAGCCGAGTTGACTTGGAGATGAGTCAACCCATCCGGGTTGCCTCAGGCAATAATTGGATTATACTATCCCCAAGGATAAGCATAGCCAGGATAGGGGTTGATTGGAATAGCATGAATTATATATTCTAGAATTTATTAATTAAATAATAGGATTAGGGTTTTTGGGCAATGTGAACCGGCCAATGGTGACCGAAGTTTTGACCGACTAGTTTAGGGCTTTTTAGAGTGGTTCTCTAGGTGATTGGACCGATTCCTGGTCCAGGAGGATAAAGGCTATCAAACTAGGAGGTTTTGGAAAATTTTGGATGGTCGGTTCAAGGTGAATAGGCCAATTTAGTGTATCACCCTTTGAGCAGCCGATTCACAAGTTTTAAGCCGGTTCTTGGGAAAGTTGAACTAGTTCCTAATTCAATATGATAAAACCTAGCTAGCCATGTGGTTTGCTAAATTTTGGGTGGCCAGTTCAAGGTGAACCAGGCTTAGTCCAAAGTATAAGCCTATTAATTAGGGTTTTTGGCCCGATTCAGCTTGGTTTTGGGAGGTTCTTGACTAGTTCAGATCAATTCCTAAGGTTTTGGGGCCTTTTGAATCCGTTTTTTGAGGGTTTTGTGACTGATCTAGTTGAGTTTGAGATAGTTTTAGGCTAGGTTAGGTCAGTTCGAGGGTTTTGGAAGTCGGTTCACTATGGTTTAGGGATTATGGAGGTTGGTTCTTTATTGTTGAGGGTTGTTGAGCCAAAGTGTTGAGTGTCAGTGAGTCGCGTGGGTCTCGGTGATGGGTAGTGATGCCTTAGGATGCGTGCCAAGACACGAGGATGGGATTTGAGCTGGTTATGGGCTGCTAGGCCCATTTCTTGTGCTAGTTTTGGTGTTAGTGATGGTTTTGTATGGTTTTGATTTCAGATTTATCTGTCGAGGAGCACCTAGACCATTGAGTTGGTTGAGGTGACTCGAGACTTTTTGCCTCAACCGTACTGTGAATGATGATACCTTTTCTATGCATGTGTTTTCATACTTGCTTTCCTAGCATGACGACTTCATAGATTTTGTGAATTGTATTTGTTACATGAATCTTGGGATATGTTTTATGTGTTTTATTGCTGTTTAGTGAGCTATGTTAGTATACGAAACTGGTTTTGAGATTCATGGATTGCATATGTTGTGTATTTGTTTTGGTTTGATATGTGAAGAGTCGAGTGATGCATTGAGACCATTTGCTCAAGCGTGAGATGGAGGATGCCTCTCGACCAAGAGCTTGGTATGGTTGCCCTAGTGGGCGTGATGTGTTGCTCCGATTATGAGATGGAGGATACCTCTCAACCAATAGCGTGGTATGATTGCCCTAGTGGGCGTGTGGCTCCGATCATGAGATGGATGATACCTTTCGACTAAGAGCGTGGTATGTGACTGTGTTGGGCTTGATTGTGAGACGGAGGATTCCTCTGATTGAGGCTGGAGTCTTAGTGATCATTGTGCTGCCACATATATATGTTTTGATGCGGGTATTGCTCATTGTGTACATGTATGGTTTTGGACTTGTGACGTGATGTATATTCCAACATGCATAAACTAGATATCATCTGTATTCACTATTTATAAACTTTCCAGATTTAGGTTACTGTTCTTGAGTAACGTGCCAAAGTCGAAGTGGTTGTTTGCAACTTTGTTTGATGTACGGGCGAGTTCTGTGTTTATTTGTTTTTGTACTCTAGGGCTCCCTTTATTACTCAAATAGGATCCTAGTTTTTGTATTGGAACGTTTTGAGATGTTTATCCATGTCTTGGTTGGTTGAGCATGATTCTGTTATTGTGAGACGAACTAGGGTTGAGGACCTTAGTGCTGACCACGGGCCCGGAGTTTGCGCCATGACAATCATGTGCCAAGCACATGTGAATTAAAATAGAATTTTAAATAGATTTAATATTGATTAAATCATAAATAATTATATTTTAATTAGATATTATTTTCATAAATGAGCTCGAGATAAACTCAAACTAGGCTTGACATCCTTTTTAAATAGGGGTAACTATGGTTGGTTGGCCAATTGATAATGAATTTTCAGCCATTGAATCCTTCAAAAATCCTTCCCTAATCCCACATTAAAATCCATAAGTCGAGAGTGGACTTCTAACTACTAGCATAGCAAAAAGTTTCAATAGGCATCTAAAGCGTGCATCAACTTGAGCAAGAATACTTGATATTGTGGTCTTGTATTTGGATACATTCTTACCATATTTGAAGGATAGTAAAGGAGGTATTCGATTTATTGTTTATTCAAATTATTTAAGGCATTAGGATGCTATACTTGAGGGATTGAGCATAACAAGTTCATGCTCATCCCTATACTTCTGCAAAACCAAAACTTTTTACAGTTTCATATGTTCCAAACGCACCCTTTCCTAAAGCCTAGTTGATCCTAGGGAAGTAGAAGGAAGGCAAGGACATCATAAAGGTATTCTCAAGCAAGCTAGAGTTCTTAAAGGCGGTCTAACAAATCTTCGCCTACGGAAAATTTTCGAAAGACGTACACCGTCAAAAGAAAATATGACAACCATATATCTAAGCCTATTTTCTTAAACGGACAAGGGAGCCAAATTTTTCCATTTTCCACTATTTTAAAATGTAGAGATCTAGGTGTTCCTACTATTTTATGATTTATTAGCGAAAAATAAAATTGAAAAGACACTTTTGGATTTAGGTTCTAGTATCAGCTTGATGCCCTTTACTTTATACGAGTTAAGATTAAAGGAGTTGCATTGTTAGATTAGTAACCAGCAAATCAATTGAATGGACATGTAAACTATTCTGCTGTCACAATTTTATTGATTCAATATATAGAAATGCCCATATAAATTTATTTTCACTTGTAAGCCAAATTCTATTTCTTGAAATTTATAAATTCCTTTGACCTTCAGACATTGTTGGCACAAATAGGATTAAAGATGTCGTCATTTAAACACAACTCATTATTTCATTTCAATTAATTTCATAAATTCATTTTATCATAAAGTATCTAAATTTTTAAAATTCTTCAATTAAAATTCTGAAATTGGTTTTTTAAAAAGAAAATTGGAGTCTTCATATTATAGTAAAAGATGCAACTCACCTGGATATCCAATCCGTGCAAATAAAGTCCAAAATGTCAAAAAGCCTGTGCAATTAGTCACCTCCTAAAGGTTTAAATTGACTAGTCTTGCTTTTTATGCTTTGTACAAACAGAGAAGTCATATTGGACGCAGTCAAGCGCAAACTCTGGCCCTTAGTTTGCGCGTGTTTTACGTGGAGAGTTGGGTCAAGATCAAAGCGCAGTTGACGTTCATAATACCAAAAAGTCTAAACGCGAGTAGAACATATGCAACTAATACGTAAGTACTTGGCCTTAAACAAACTTCATTAAATTATAATTGCTAATGATTCTCAGTCTTTATTGATACAAACAAAGCACAACCAACCATTCTCATCTTTTTATTCAACAACACACATGGGATGTCAGTGTGTGAACTGTTAAAAAGGCACTATGGGGTATTATATTATATTACATCACACGTACCAACTACAGTCTACAGTATCTCTCTATCCATCTCTATTATTTACCCAACAAATGACTGACCACTGATGAATATATGTATTCATCCCAAGAATCGTTCTGCATCCAAAATAACATCAAATAAAGTCCTCGGAATCCGACTCCAGGGGATAGTTGCACGCATTAATGCGTTCCCACCTATGAAATAATGCACACCCACCTGAGCAATTTTTGAATGGAAAATAACGCCTTGTTCATCTTGTCCCCTCACTCCATGCTAGTAACCGAGGAAGGATTATTTGCAACAATGTGATAATCATCTCCACTGTCATCCTCCTCATCCCCCTCGTCTTCTTGATTTGGGTCAACGTTTTCACTTTCACCGCCTTCGGTTTCTGATTTCTGCTGCGATGGTGGCTGTTGTTGCTGCATTTGCAACAAAATGTCCTCGGGCTTTAAGTTACAGCCTAAAGTAGAATTGCCTGAATTATCAGTTACTAATTTCTTAGACTTCTTCTCATACAGGGACTCCAACATTTGGAAGTAAGGACAGGTCTTTGAGTCCTCTGGCCTTTTCTTGTTGCTCTCTCTCACCCTCTTGAAGTACTTATTAATGTTTTCCCATTTCTCTTTACACCTCTTGGCACTCCTGCCGTACCCAATCTTCTTCATTGATGAGGAAATTTCTTCCCATAGAGGCCCCTTGGGTCCATTATCTTGATACTGCAAGTCAAGATTAGTCCTCAGCCTAATCAAAGCTTCAACTTCCGCTTTGGGCCACCGTGAAGAGCTTGGCTGAATAGAATTATCAGAAATATTATTAACATTAATATCTTCCAATTTGTTGGTTACTCTCTCTGATATAGTCGGAATTGGAGTTGCAGTTGGAGTCGGCGTCGAAGTTGGGGTCAGGGTCGGGGTTGGGGTCGGGGCAGGGGTCAGGGCTGGGGCTGGGGCTGGAGACGGAGCCGGAGCTAGATTTGGAATTGGAGTTGGGAAAGTAGGAAATTTAACAGGGCCAGATTGCTCAGAGATCTTCTGCAAAAAGGCAATCACGGCTGCATCTTTGGCAGCAGCAAGTGCTCGTTCTTGAGCCAACATCTCTTGCTCCCTCTTAATTCTAGCCAGTTCTTGCATCTTCCAAGCCTCTTCTCTCGCTGCTCGATCCTTTTCACACTTTTCCAACGCCTCTATGAACTTGCTTTGCAAATTCTCCTGTTTCTCCAGAACTTCCTTCATTAGTCTCTCAAAGTAATCCATCAATTTCCTCTTCTTCTTCCCACTGCACTCAGACTGCTTTCCTGAGGAGGATGTGGTGGATGTAGAGGTAGACATGATAAACTCTGCACTGGGCGGATTCATGAAGTGTGTAACACTGGAGGGCTTTATGGTGGTGGTGGCCTCTCCAGTCATTGTTAAAACTGTATTCGGCATTCCCATTGCCATAGTTGTACCCGTCAGAGGTTGTTCATCCCTCAGAAATGATTTCATACTCTTGTTTTGGGAAGGCGATGGAAGCAAGGCAGATTGATTGTCAAAAAGTTCTAATTGATCGAAAAACCGGTAGTTTTTGCCATTTTGCCGACTGGACCGGCATTCTTTGGTTCTCTTGTGATACTTGTAGATGTTTTCGAACTTCTCTTTGCACTTCTTAGCACTTCGATGATGCCCAAGCTCAGCTAATTTCCTGATCATCAACACGAGTCCGTTTACAATTGTCGTATTCGTATTTCTTCTTAACTCAATCATTTGCACACAAATTCTGTCGTATTCTTTCTTAACTCAATCATTTACACAAAAATTCTGATGATAGACGTAAATCTAGCTAGCATAGTGCAATCAAAATAGATTTATATTATAACGACTACGGCTGTAAGATACCATTCCCATAAAATATAGAAAGCAGGTAATAGAGGATACTGAAATGTTTATTGAAGAAGACATAAATCTTACAGAAGAGCTATTAAAACCCATATTAATCCACAGATTGTTTCATAGGCACTCAAATTAAAATCAATTAGTTCCAAACTAGAGAATTAGTGAGACCAATAACTTCAATTATTAGAAAATAAGATGATTGTTTTAATCTCTGGAAAGAATGAACATAGGATAGGAACTTAAGCTAGGCAACAAAAGCAGTCAATTCACAGCTCCAAAACCATAAAAGTTCATTCAATTAATTCTACATATGCTACTGATAAAAAGACAAGAAATATATAAAATAAAAAAATGCAAGAAATTGAATCCAAGGGAAGTACTGAGGTGAATCTGATTGCTACCTGGAGACCTCATCCCACAGAGGAGCTTTGAGAGTTGCTTCTCGAAATGCAACGTCCATGTCAGACCTAACCTTGAGCAAAGCTAAAGTCTCTTCTCGGGGCCACCGACTACCGGCCGAACTCCGGCCACCGTCTTCCCCTCTTCCTCTCTCTGTCTCTTCATCCCCAAACAATCCATCTGAACCTGACCCACTTCCGCCACCGCCTTCTTCATTCTTCTGATTGAAGGTGGTAGCGGTGGTACCAGCGAGGGCGGCGGTCGAGGCAGTGCCTCCACCGCCCACGCCACCGCCCCCGCCAGCTGCGGCAGCCGAATTTGATAACAATCCTGAAACGTTCAGCATCAGAATCAGACGAGTACCTCAACTTAGAAAGTAATTCCAGCTGATTCTTTTTTTAAAAAAAAAAATTTTTGGGCAAGACGGATGGTGAATTTCTAGGGTTTTGTGAAGATAAGTGGTTACGGTAAATTAAACGAGTTTCTTGGGTTGTTTTGGGATTCGGCTTTCCAGGCTCTACCAAAGCCAGCCTCTCTCTCTCTCTCTCTCTTTCTGTCCTAACCACTTATTTTAATGGGCAAGTAACTTTAAAAACACAAGTGGAAAAAATTAGGGTTTTCTTTTTGGGAGCGATAAAGATAAAAAGAACAGCTGCGTCCGAATGGGGTCGAACTGGATGGTTACAAGTTGACATGTGGAAATCTTATTGGATACTTATCAAGTGTTGTTTCTCTCTTTTTTGGTTTTTGCTTTTTTCCGCCAGCGATAAAAGTTTGACTGTTACAATAGGTTGACTGGGCTTCAATTCGAGTTGGCCGAATTAGTGAAGAAATGTATGGAATGGAAAAGTAAAAGGTCAAAAGGGGAAGGGAATTATTGCGGTTAAAGGACATGTAACTATTTATTTACAGTTTCCACCAACTTTTGGGCTACAATTTTGTTGCCTAATTTTAGAAAAAAATTAATTATAAAATTAATAAATAATTTTGCTCCCAGAAAAATAAAATAAAAATCAGAGAAAGAAAGTGGCAAAGAAAGGATTTAAATTGGGAAGCAAAAACAGCTGTAGATATGGACAGTGAGAGAGAGAGAAGATAATAATTTCCATTTTTGTTTTTAGGTGACAAAATTTGTTTTTATGATTTTCTGCGTGTTGCGTTTAAAGTCAGTTAGGAGCCGGCCCACGTTGCCCAGCCCACCTTTGCCTCTGATATTTTTCTTGTATTCACACGGCATCCACGTATTTCATCATTCCGAATTTGGCATGATATTTTGTGGGTGGGACCCACAAATATCAGCTTCTGAAGTAATATAAAATAGAAATTATGCCTTTTAACGTTTAAATTTTGTTTTCCAAATTTTTACGTATCCCGACGTCACCCCCTGCGTATCAACCGTGTGGTAGTAATTTTTTGAATTAACAGTTTCACTGTCAGCTAGATTAATACGAAATACTGATTTAATTTAGTAAGTTAAAATCTAACTTATTAAAAATAAGAAATAGATGAAATTGTTTTCAGTGCAATTGTCAAATGTTATTCATCTTATCCTTACAGCTGGCTGACTAATACTGCAAAGAAATTCTAACCCACCTGTTAGCCATGCCGATTTTCCCTTGTATTTTCATTAACATGTTGACACAATCCTTAATAAGCATCGAAATTCTATCCCCATTTCCGTCCATTTGTCCATTAATCATGCCGCTTGTGTGCAATAGGTTCATGGCCCTAAAAAATTAAAGAAAGGGAGATAGAAATGGGCTACTAAAGCCTCCACTACTAGCTCTATTAGTGCTATACAACATCAATTCTAATTTATAAAATGTTTTAACTTTTGACACATCCCACTTTAGATCTCAAAAACTTTGCAATTGGATCTTTACATACATACATACATACATCTATATGTGTGAGTGTGTGTGTATGATGTATGTGTGTGTATAATGTGTATCTATGCTTTTAGTACTTTTGAAACTTAGAATTTTAATTGGAAATGAAAAAAGTAAATCCATCCAAGTGTGTCTTTTTTCTTAATTATCTCGGTTGGTGATTTGATATTTTGACAAATCTGTGAAGTGCAAAAGCAGCCCATAATTCCTAACAATTGCTTTTTTGCCAACCATGACATAGAAAAAAAATGGAATATATGAGGGACAAGATTGGAATATCCGAGGCCTATTGCGCAGAAATAAGGCATCTTTAAAAATTCTGGTGGGAGAGTGATTCTCATAAATTTTGGAAGAACGGCTTGCAATTAGTATCTCCCCTTTCGGGTAAAAGCAGAAGCACAGTGGTTTAAGTGCATGGCTGGCCCTTCAACTAAATGGTGATGTTTCATTTGTCCCCCAATTGAAAAAAATGTTCAGTTAAAGCCCTTCAACTAATTAAAGATATTCGACAAAGCCTAATTTTAGGGGTATTAAGTTTTAATAGTGCTTTCATGATTTAGCAATTAAATACCCTTAAAATTGAGGCCAATCTTCAATTTATCCATGCAATTATGTGCGTCTGTGTGGGTATATATTTAATTAAACTCCTTGACTAAATAATTTTTAATCAGTAACATCTATTTTATTTACTTATTTTTCATGTATCTTATATTAAAAAATGATTTAATGAATCAATATCTTTAATATCTATTAAATTAGTATTAAATGTAATATTAATACTAATCCAAAGGATATCCGCTAACCTATCCAATCTGAATCCAACATAAGAGAAATTCATTTTTCCGATCCATGCATCATATCCATTGTTACAACAGGCTTTACACCAACTTAGTTGTTCATTAGATTACTCTATCCGATTTAGACATGATCAGCAACTAGGTGTCTGGTTGAAATGATGGAAAAGACTGGGGTTAGGATTTGTGACTAAAGAGAAAGGTTAGGGGAGGGGCCTTGCCAGGGAAACGTGGCAGCATTTATTTCCAGGAGAGGAAGGAAGTGGTTAGGGCAAAGGTGGTGTTGCCGATAAGGAAGGGAAAAAGGCTAGTTTTTAACCAAGAAAAAATAAATTATTACTTAATTAAAGTGCTCAATTGAATAATTTTTGGTGACGGGCCAATTCGAACATCAGAATAACGTTTGAGGGTTGATAAAATGCATGTCACTGACAGGAATCTTAATGTCGTTAAGAGTTGGACTTCTTTGAACATCTTTTAGTCTTTCAAAAGTTTAACTAAGCAGCTTTCAGCGGGGGACCAAATTGATCATCACCCTTGAGTTGAAGGGCCACCGGTGCATTTTCAACCTTTAAGAAAAGCAAAAGGAAAAGAAAGTAATTTGAAATTGTTACAACTTGGTAGATATTGAATAAGGTAATTTGAAATGAATTAGTAGATATAAGCAAAAATCACACAAGGCAAGGGTAGCTGTCAAAGGGAAAAAGACCTCAATCATGGAGCTGTTAATAGATAAAAGGTGTGGAATGAGTTTACGTAATCTAATTCTCTAGTTGTCATTTTCACTTTACCCCCGACACTTCAAAATCATTAATCTAACTCCTAATTTCAACCACTAGGAAGGGAGGTGATACTCAAGTCGCACTTTGTTGAATACAGTATGTACATTTAGTGTTGGGGACCTACCCCCGATTTTGACCAGCCAATTTTATTGACCCCCCCCCCCCCCTCTCTCTCTCTCTCTCTCTCTAAGAAGAGGGTAAAAGGAGAAGTTGCATGTTGAGACTTGTCCCCTGAATAAACCAAATGTATTGTTTGTGATCACACACATCTTTGTGGAAGATAAACATTATTATTACAAAGTAGTGGTGCCATTCATCCACTTATTTACTATTTGTGCTTGTGGGTTTTGCTCAACTTGCAAGTTAACATCAAATACAACTGGCGGACAAGGGGGATACAAATTGGTTTTGAAAATTTTGAGTTCTGAAAACAACGGTGTGTAAAGGATTCAATTATAACCCAACAAGCTATCTAACCGACACATCAAACCCAATGCTGAGTTAACACGGAAAATGTTCCTCCGATTAACAAAATATCTAGAACAAAAGCTTTAGGATTTATTGGATTACAAAAACAAAATTAAGCCGAATAATGATATACAAAGGGAAGAAAATCCAAAATGCTTGGTAGATTTTTTTTTTTTTTGCTTATTTATAAAATAAAATTTTATTAACATCGGTTTCTAATTGTAACATTATACAGTTTATAAAGTTCTTGAGAGTTACTGTTGAATAACTTAAATGTAAATACTTATCTAGTAATTCAAACTTAACAAATTATTAGAATTAGTGGCTTTTGATTATTAAAATAATATCAGAAAAAGTAACTCTCAAATATATTTTCTTTTTGTTCTATCTAAATATGAATATAGATATATGAATTGATGAGAGTATTAAATATTTAAATAAAGAAAATTGTAATATTCCATTATATATCACTTTTTGAGAATAATATTATGTAATATATAAGAATTTTAAGAGTTAATACTAAATAGTTTACATTTATG